CAGGGCGTTTAGTCATGCGAAACCTCCACGAAACATCCACGCAACACACGAGGTAACTTTATCCGGATTCTAAAAATAACTCGAGACGAATTACCTATGGAATAGGGTGTGTATGGGGGATGCCTTCTCTGTCCCCTTTATCCTCTCTTGGTCTGGGCTATCCCAATTCCTATTTCTACAACAAAAGATGTAATATGTTGCTGTAATGGCTATATTTATCATTTTCTTCATTATAAAACGTTGCTGCTTTTTGTCAATGCCAATGTCAGTCATCATGTCTAAGAACGTGGAGCATTCGTCGGAGAAAACACCAAGGGAGCTCATGGAGAGATTTGCAAATTTCACACATCTGTAATTTCTACTCATTTCTTTGATCAAGTTCAGATATTTTTCTTTTTTACACGCTGCATTGTTGTTGTTGTTAATAATAATAATAATAATAATAATAATAAGTTATTTAAATGGCGCCATTTCTACTAGATAACCAATGACGCTCAACAAGGTTACTAAAAAGGGAGAGAAAAATCTAAAAAGTTACTACATAAGAAAAAACATAAAAAAAATCTAAAGGGAACGGCTAAATAAAAAGGTCTTCACTCTATTCTAAAAAGAACTGAAGCATACCTCGATGATGTAAACCCCTCCAAATGTGATATCCCACATCAAGGCTAGTGCAGGTATTTGTCTCCCATTTGTAAGGATAATGATATGAGATGATTATGCGGGGACATCTAGGGTACAAACCAAACAAATAAAAGAATATTCGTTCTGAGGAAAGAGGATGGCTTGTTGCTTTATATCATAGGTTTAACCAATCTAAGGGCGGGCTGGCTATATCACTTATTTATAATGAAATAACTTTCATAATTATAATATTTACATTGCAGTCATCTGCTTATCTATTCTTGAACACATAAATTAAATTAAGGATACGCCCCTCTTAAAAATAATCAGCTCTCGCTACGCGCTCGGTCATTATTTTTAAGAAGGCCTGGGAGCTCAGGCATTATCCTCTATCAAGAGTTAAAGTATCTTAGAAACGTCTGATAACCCAAACGAGCCGGTTACCCTGTATTGATTCGGAACGTTTCAAAGTAAGTTTTATACGGTGCTACACCATCGTGTAATACGAAACTATATAGTAATAAAATGCCTAGTCAAATCTTGAGTTGATAAAAAATTGTGCTTCTGGGATATTGTACTTTAAGTATCCTTTAGATTTTTAGACCTTATAGTTTTTAAATAACTGTATGTATTTTTACTTGTATCTTTGATAAAACAGTTAAAATATTAGGCTGTACTTAATTATCAACAGGTATGACTTGTTGTGTGTTCATGGCAAGCAGTATGTCATTTATTACCCTAACACGTGTAGTCAATCAATCATTATAAGTCAAACAATTACGAAACGAAAAAAGCTTACTCGCGATCGGTTCCACCGCGACAAGCGGAATTAAAATTCTCTGGTCCCTGAGGAATCTAGGAAAATTAAGAGACGTTTATTGGTTATAGTAGGAGACGTCACAGTTTACAAACATTGTTTATGTTATTCAAATTTCTAACGAGTTTCTTTCAAGAATCAATGCGGTTCTGGTTGGCACATGAACATCTATAGGTCGTTTGTGGGAGCCCCAAAAAGGGGATCATAATCCCAGGCGTTTGTAGCGGAGACCGTGGAAACAGGGGAAAAGTATCTCGGCGTGGCGAAAGCCATGCAGGGAAGATTGATGTGATGAAAGATGTAGAGCTTTACGGAACGCGTCGGTCTCCGAATACTATTATTTTGAAACAAGTGAATGCTTCAGTGGCTGGAAAAAAGAAGAAAACAATTCGATGGTGAAGCTATGTAAATTTTCATCGTATGCAATTTTGTCTTGTGATGATCATGCGGTTTATTTTCGGCGATGACTGAAATAACACGCTTTGTTGGTCACGTTTCGCTGAAAACGATTTAAAAAGATTACTCGACCGTCGATAAAAAAGGACGTAAAAAAATTATAGCAAGGAAATCCTGTTTCGTGTAGGAAGCCACGTTGTTGCAAGGCGAAGAGTTCGAAGGCAAGTGAATTTAAATTCCCGTGAATTGAGGAATCGATGTTTTATGGCAGATTCACTTTGTTGTATGTATTTAATTGATAGATTTTCGCAGTTGTTAAGATGTGATCAGCGTCGCATTGCACTTTGTAAGTACTTGAGATTTCAATGACTTAACCTTCAAGTATTCGTTAAGTATGAGTCACGGATGTGTTACGGGTAGCTTTGCGGTTAGTATAAAACGTGGACTGCCAACTTGGGACCACGGACTGAACCGGGTATAAAACACGGACTAGCTAAAAAATGTGGACTAGAAACTACGGACTGAGTATAAAACACGTGCTAGGTATAAAACGCGGACTACGGACTGTGTATATAAAAACAGCTTTAGAAAGGTAAAACTGAGAGAAACGGATAGCGAACTAGCACAAAGCAGTAGCCCCAGCTCCTTGCCTTACACACAAACATTCCTTTAGCTGGTCCCGCAGTCTATTCTCCCTAACGTCAGCGCGGAGAAGGATAGCATACTGTACGGGCAAGGATGGTTATGCCGCTACTCAAGGCTGACTGACAATGAAACTATGAATTTTTTTTATAAAAAGGAGGAGTTAGAAGAGAATTCACTTTGTAGAAGATATGAAAATGAGAGGCACCGAATTAAAAAAAAAAAGAAGATAGTATCGTTGTTAGAGAGTAAAATTCTTATAGATGCCACAATTCTATACCAAAGCCTTGGGGATATGAGGAAATGAAGAACCCAAACGAGAAGGTCAAAATAGTTTTCCAGTTAGTAAAACGGAAGGCATGCGAAGTTTCTGACTGTTGTATTTACCAAAGGCAGTCAATGGTTACTGTGTAAACTGGCTAGCTAGCTTTTTTTTTCTTTTCTCCTTCCCCGCATGGTCCCTATGGCTTCCACGCCCGGACACAGACTCATTAAGAATTAATTAATTGCCTCCTTATTTCTTATCTTATCTCCAAGCGAGTTCGAGTCAACACTTTTACTGAGAGCGTCTTATTTCATATCGTATCTCCAAGCAAGCGAAACTTACACTTTTGTGAGCGTTCTTGTTTTATTTGAAAGCACAAGATGAAAAATGTTCTCTTGCTAAAAATCAGTCTGTTGGTGCAAATTGGTGAGGAGATATATATAAGCAACTTTATGCTCCAATCACTCCATAATGAGGGCCTGTTTATGGTATGGAGGTGGGGGATTCCAGGTAGGTGAGGTAACCCGCTTAGGAGGGGGGAGGTACATAATAGGGAGGAGGGAGAAATGGCCCGAAAAAGTAGGGAGGAGGGAGAAATCGGGGCGAAAATGTAGAGAGGAGGGAGAAAATGAAATGTTGGGAGTAGGGAGATTACAATGAGAAGGTAATTTTATGGCTTTTCTTTAACTTGTGTCATGACAAGGCCGGATGGGGGGACAGAGAAAATGGTGTACACTACAATCCCCTTAGGTCTCCTAGGACTCCCTGGGTCGGACTTAACCAAGAAAGCATGGGATCAAACTTGGACGCATCTCAGGTTACCAGGTTTTTAAAACTTGGTGACGACAGTCGTAACACACAACTCCTTCACTTAGTTGTAAAGGAAGTTCTCTGTCCTTCAGAGCTTTGCTCTAACTAATAGCTGGCCCTTAAAGGATTTTCACTTGCGATATGATATTCCTTAAAGATTTCTCTTAGCCGTCGTTGGTTTTGTATAAGGTGGATTTTCCCATAGTATTTTCTTCAGTCTATTGAAACCGCTATTTGGTAACAAATGGTAGTGGCTTTTTACGTGCAGATTTGTTGCTCTGTTGAAGGGCTGTTTTCCTGTCGGCGAGTTTTAACTCAGAGAGGTACTTTCTCGCAATAGGGACCGGGTAGCCTCTTTTTACCAGGCGATTTTCGAAATCTTTGATAGTTTCCTCAAAAGTGGTTTGAGCATGAGACGAACAGACCTTAGACCCATGAGCGCTTCTCCGTCAATGAAGCATTTCTTTACGCCTGGTGGTTGCCACAAGTACGTGAAAGGCTTCTGTACGTTGGCTCATGGGCCCCTGGTTGTGTTCCTTGTTGAATCTAATCCCTTTGTACACTTTTGTGTCCAAGAAAGTGATCTCTGTTTCTTACATCTTAGCCGTGAATTTGATAGTATTTGCCTTTTCCACAATTTTGGCTCTTTATTTTGTCTAGGTTCCATAGGCAGGTGTCTCAATATATCTTTTCCAAAACAGCGGTTCAATTAGCCTGGGTGCCCAGAGACTTTTTATGTGCGGTTTCCGGTTTGGTAAAGCCGTCTAAAGTGACCCGCGTGGAAAGCTTTTTTTCTCGCGGCTTCGCCTCTAGTGACTTCTGCCTTCGGCCAAAGATCTGTTGGCCTGCAGCGACACCGAAGCATCTCGCCGCACCCGAGAAAAATCCTCTGGTGACCAGGGTGCGGTTCAATACAACTATGTCTCAATATCTGGTATTCTATTATGGGCATTAAGATGTTAGCAAAAGCAACGGCCATCTTTGTTCCCATGGCTGTTCCATCGGTCTGTAGGTAGTTGCCACCGCAAAATTGGAATGAGTTTTCGTTATATAAGATAAAGTATTTCTCTTAGATACCTGATAGGTACCCCGGGGGTTGTAGGGGGTATTCCCGGGAATTTTTGGTGGGCTTGAGCCGCCCGGTTCTTAAAATCCTGACCCTATTTCACACTAAAAAAAAAATGTTATTTCCCACACCCGTTTCAGACCCGTCTCTTAAATCCACGCCCATTTTCAGACCTGGTATAGGTAGAATTTAGACTAGAGCTCAAACGAGATTTCTTAAAATCCATTTCGAATTCGCTTATTACTCTTTCTTTCTGATTCATTTGGAGTTGAAACGACAAATACATCTACATCTACATTCAGATTAAGTTGGTAAAATCTGTTACAGACATGGCACCAACTATTAAAAGAAACGATCATAAAATATATACAATGCTCGGATAAAAAATTAACAAATAAAATCTGATAATACATATAGAAAAATAAGTGAATCATAATATAGGGCAAAAAGTATGAAAATAAAAAACGTCTGGTAATTCGTAGCTACAGTAGGTAGGGGAGTAATTTGAGTTAAAGACAGCCAAGGAGTTTGACTCAACTATCAATCCGCGGGTAGCTTTAGCATAGCCTTATGGTCCATACGTTCATACACTCCCGTAGTTTCCTCGAAAGCCATACCCAATTCCCAGTGGAGGATCCAGGGGAGGGGCCCTTACCCCCCTGATTTTTTCGCCAAAATTTTTTTTTTGGAGACAGATCCCCCCTCCCCTTATCTAAGGGTTTGGATGACCAGGCTCCCCTTTATCTCAAGGACTGGATCGGGCACTGATTCCAGACCAAAATGGGCAAAATCTATACCCGTTTAAGACTGAAACGGCGCAAAAACCCTTTGAGGCGGCACATACGTATATGGCTTATATAAGGGAGTACTCCCCCGGGGGTGGGTGTATGGGCTTTCCCTCAATAAAATCTTCGTATGCATACATATGGTGGTTAGCAGTCCGGGATCGTTATCAAATTTGATAACCTCGACCAAAACAAACCACGAGCCAATCGCTGTTCAAATTTTCGTTCGTGACCTAATTTGAGGGAAAGCGTTCTTGAATTCAATATGGCGGACGATGTCGAGATGTTGTCAGTAATTAGAAAGGAGTACTGCCGAGACAGCAACTCATGCACATGGCAATTTTTTATAACAGACGTCTCTCAGTAGATTGTAGAACTGGTGAAAATGTATTTGAGACGCATTTTTCCAAATAAGACCTCCGCGGAAAGCTTCGTGTATTTCAAACAAATCATCAAACTCATACGTAATTTGTTTCTACTGAAATGTTGAAATTAAAGAGACACAGTGATGGAAGACAATGGTTATTCTGTTAAGGATAAAGGTTTTATTTTTAACATCGTCTACAGAAGTTTGCTTTTTCGAAGTCCATTCTGCTATTTTCCTCTTGTCACGAAGATCTGTCAATGAAACAAAAACGGAACATGCAGACAATGAGTATGCCTTCCATTGATTAGCATATACAAATAGCTGTTTAAATTTTTAGCAATAAAAGGGGGTGGTAGGCCTACACGACTTTTACCTCATGCCAAAGTGCTGCTTATTCCAATAAAGTTGTTTTTATCTGCTGGGTAGATTATGCTCTGGAAGGTTCTACATTTACACTGAGCAAAGGTGATTTTAGCCGCATGTTTCACACTGAGAGGTCATGACATACATATCGATTTACTGTAGTTATTGTTTCTGCTCGGCAGGATTTGCCCTCTGATGCGAGCGCATTTTCTTCGACCTCTTTTGAAGCGTAAAGCTTTTTTATTACGGCTGAGCAAGGGTTCCAATTTTCTCCAAAGTGCCCTCTGGATCTGAATAACTAAGCGATTTTTTTTAGTCCGTGAGTGTAATGTTTTTCTGCAATGCTGTATCACGCTGGGCCCAGCTCGTCAGATTTCTTTGCAGAATGTTAAATTATCAAGGATAGTGATTTACAGATCCAAAATTATAAGAATGAAGTGCAGCTTAAACTGAAGCTACATAAACTTACTATGGAGAATTGAATTGTGACTCAGTAAACTCCAGCTTAGTGTTTTTCTAAAGATAGTGTGAGTCTTTTGACCGGAGCGCGTAGTTCCTCCCGGCCTTGGTAATTGAATAAGCTTAACAGTCTTAAAACTGGAGGTATTTGAAGACGCGATCTTGCCACAAAGGCGACATAACTTTAAAATTTTGCTTCTATGGGCATCATCTGCCATCTCAGCACCTTAAGGAAGACTTTTTCAGAGGTTGTGCACAACAATAGAAACATGCTGAATCATAAACCTTGGATATAACACCAGATTTTTTGCATCTCTCACAAAAATCGACAAGTACATTAATTTAACAACGAAGTGGAAAAACATACCTGATCCCGGAACCAAAATCTGATGGGACGCTTCAGTTTGAGAGGGAAATTTACTTCAATACGAGTGATACACATCTGCCATTTTGAAACATGTGAAGCTCCTTGGCCTTGCCGAACAGCACCATGGGTACCTGACGAGTTTACACCGAATAAGATCGGACAAAATCTCGGATAAAGAAAGGCGAAGACGAAAATTCCCGACTTTTGAAATGGCCACCATGTTGTGACGTCACATGGTTATCAAATTTGATAACGATCCTGGACTGGTTAGGCCTTCTTCGTGTGAAGCAAGCTCTGAAGGTCATTATACTTCCTCAGGAGTGCCCGCCGTTAATTTTTAAACCAAGTTTAGGGAGGAGGGAGAAATTGCCCCAAAAAGTAGGGAGGAGGGAGATTTACCGTCCCGTACCTCCCCCCTCGCTTAGGTGGGGTAACCCGCCTGTCCATATAATCTCTCATTTTAATTTGATCACGTTTACATGATAGGTGGGGTGACCATATAAGAGATTATATGGAAAGGCGGGTTACCTCACTTACCTGGGGTCCCCCACCTCCATGTAAACAGGCCCTAAAATAGGCCTGGATCATAAGCCAAGGAGAAGGATTCGTATGGAGTCATCAGAACAAACTGGTTGCACTGACAAGCTGATTTTTTTGTAAGGGGGCTTTTTTCATCTTGTTCTTTCTAAATACGATTAAGAATCCTATAATTTCACAAATTTGAATTATCGTAACGTCTATTGTGTTATTTTTTTAACTGAAGAGAAAATAAAACATTTACCTGGTAAAAGACGGAATAGTTCCCTTGAAAAACATTCAATCTAAATGTTCCTGTGTACGAAGTAACGACAACAAATTTTTGCAGCAACATGTGTTCACAAAAGTGAACGGGAGAATTAATCATAATCTGTTCATGTTGTCCTTCAGCAGCTTAATTAAAAAATATAAAACTGCTCTAGTGAGGCCTTAAACCAGGGCTCGAAATTGCGACCGATACGGTCGCATTTGCGACTTAATTTTTGTTATTTGCGACTAGAAAAACGAGAGTAGTCGCAAATTTGCGACTACGTTTTGCCTTAACTGATACGAAATAAAAGGACTAGCACTTGAATTTTTGCTTAAATAAATTTAGAAATAAAAAGATTCATTGAAGTAGCGTCTTATAATTTTGTTACAATCTGAAGGTTTACCGTAATTTACCTGGCATGCATACACGCAACGATATTCCTTCAACAGCACGCCATTTTGAGCCGGTTCTGTAAACATGTGCATTGCAGGCTCATATTTCGTTTTGATTTGCCGCTGACAGTCGTTAGTCACCGAGCAAGATCGAAGGAACAGAAACAAGCAGAAAAACTGGAGTCAATAACTTTCGTCGGTAAAAAATGAGTACTTAAGGCTTCATTGTTTCTTCGTTTGACAGTAAACGGTTAGTTTTAAAAAAAAAGATTTACATGTAAAATAAATCGGTTCCAAGTGGGTTGCGAATCTACGTATACATGAAAACGAGGTTTAGCAAACAAAGATGGCGGAATGTCCGCATGGCACGTATCGTCGTATTGAATGATTCAGTCCTTCAGGGTTCTTTGAATAATCACTGTAGTAACACCCCTGATACTTCAGATGTAAAGCTTAATATATAAAAGAATTCGTTACTTGTTTTGTCATCGGTGGAAAACCTGCAAAAGGTAAAACTAAAGGAATTTAGTTACGTAACGTAACCTACAACCATGTCGGATGTCCGCCCAGTACAAATGTTATTGCTATTTTGCAGAGATTGGAGGCATTTAAGAACTGCAGTTTCCTGCTGTAATATCTGTTCATGATTTGGAAATCTATCGCTTTGACTAAAATAACAGACACTAATTTATGTGCCTTAACGCAGGTTCAACTTGATCGTTTAGATGAACTGGTGTTGTCCGAGATGCTAAACGTTCTGTACTATTAAGTCTCGAAATGACATGGAAGCTGTAGAAAGAATGAAAATTAAAGCGTTAATCATTTAAAAGCCTACTTATTTCTTGATTACATGGCCTCAACTAATTTCGCGACTAACATTTTCAAAGTTGCGACCAAATTTTCGTAACTAGTCGCAAATTTGCGACCAGACATTTTTTTTAATTTCGAGCCCTGAGCCTTAAACTGCTGTTTAGAAAAGTAAAATCCAAAATCCAAGCTCTCGCCGATCAACGGCATCATCAGGGATGAGAAAATATTCCGCGCGTGCTATATGAATGGAAAGGAGGTGTAGGGTGAAATGTGTAGAAGATGTGACGTATGTATGAAAGGTATAGAAATAAACTGTGAATGGAATACAACGCTCTAATGATGGAATGTCTCTAGACAAAGGCCCTCTAAAAGTACTTAATAATGGTCTCTGAAATACTAAAATAGAAGGTCTTCGAATTCACTACATTCCTCCCGGGAATTGAATGTAGGCTTGCACTTCCTAATGAAAAAGGCTTCATAAAGGCGTAGATTAGCGGGGTCGTTTTCGCTCATAATAATCTTGACCTCAATGCCTTTATAGTTTTTGTTCTGGCAGGAATAGATATGTTTTTTCTCAGAGGAGTATTCATTATTGAGATGTTCTTTTACACGGTCGTGGATGAAGCGTCTCGTACTACCAATGTATTGATGATCGCAGCTGTTACAAGTGAGCTGGTACACTGCATTTCCTCATAAACACTATCCAGTGTTAGAGATAGGGCAGTTTAAGGCCTCACTAGAACTGTCAGTTTTATATTTTTTTCGAATTAGTCATGTTCTCGGTTAGCGTTATATTGTACCTAGTTTTCCATAGTGTGCGGCAATATAAATTTTATGACAAGTACAGAATGCTTTTAAATAAGTAGTGACTGAGGACACAAAGCGGACAAATTTGGGCATCTTGAGTAGTACCTTCGCAGTTTGCCAAGTGGTGTATATGCTCATCGCTTAGTTTTCGAGTCGTCATGCTTTGTTTGTCGAAAGGTACACACAGTTCCAAATCGAAGCAGTTTACGGCAGCTCTTTGAAGGTGTTGATTATTTTTAGAGCTTATGCTGACCACTAATGTCCATCCACCACCTGCATTGTATATAAAAATGCGAAAAATTATTTGGAGCTCTAAATCTTCCTTTACTGGTATCTTCCCTGTGATGAGAAGCAACAGTATTGTGACCGTGGCTCGTATATTATCCCCAAGGGATTAGTCATTATGAGAACATAAAATTTCTGCTAGGAGAGCCCCCTTCTTAACCCTGAAAAGTTGTTTGGCCCCTCGTGGACCATTTAAGTGACACGCACATCTGCCGAGGTGGAAATGCCAGTGCAGGCTGCGTTGGATAGGGGATGGACTGATGCGGGGCTTTGGTAGAATGTAAACTTGCCTTATATTGTCGAAAGAGGACCATTCCTCTTAAGTTAGTTAAACTAGTTAAAAAAATGAATTAATATCTCTTTTCTCTTTTTGATTCTCGAAATTGATGAAAAGGATATTAATCTGTTCTCACACAAGCAAAAAGGATTTCTTAGACTAAAAGCAGAACTTATGGCAATCACCGATCAAAAAAATTTCCCTGGAATAAACGTAGTTCTAGATATTTTATGTAACATATATACACGTGTACCAGGAGTCTGCAAACACTGAAAAGTAGGTTGCAAAAGAAAAGCAAAAATGATGAAAAGATGTTAGTATTTCTTCCTCCCACTTTTCTGGTTTTTGCATATCTTATTGAAACTCCTTCTCGTGTACGATTTATTATACATGTACATCTAGACTTATCAGTTTTGCTTATAGGATTTGAAGACGTGAAAAAAAAATTTGCATACTCCAACGAAACATTCTTTAAAAATATAAAAGAAGCAGAACTTTAAGTGAGTATTTTTTAAATGGGAAGTTCAGTTTGAAGTCAGTAAAGTTACATAACGTTCACTTAAAATTCTTTTCCTTTTTTTTATCTTAATAATTTATATAATTCTGAAAAGTTTCTGTCAGTAACTGCGTACCAAAAGTTTTCATGTCACAATACACCTGAACCTTGACTTGGCCAATATATATCCAGTAGTAACCGCTTGCTGCTGAAGGAGACGTCTGGTGGATTTCAGCGCACGATGATTGCTGTCAATGATTATCATTAAAAAGAAAGAAATTACAGTAGAAAATTAAATGGAGCTAAAATCTTCATTTATAAAGTAAAATATTTGATTCTGTTATCCTCTTTTTATTTTGTCAAGCCTCTATAACCACCAAAGCTTTAGAAATGTTTATATTTGGTTTCTTAAGAATGTCTCCACCTCTTCTTAAAAATCGTGGTAGTAGGTGAAGGAAGAACGGAGGCAAAGCTTTGTTTGCTCATAGACGAACGGAGAATAGTAGTGACGTATACTTAAAAAAGGACTTGTTAGAAAGAATTTGACTTACTCTTTTAATGGCCACCGATTGCACAAAGATATTTCCTTGCCGGTAAATAAGCTGTTCTGATCCACTGAGACTCTTGCTATTTAACTCACACACGCCAGAGTAGTTATCAAAATTAATTGATTCGCATTTTTCATGTTTCAGGCATGACTGAAAACAAGTTAAAATCCCTCTCGCCAACAGAGTTTGGATTTGAAAGCCTTCTAGTCTGTAATCCTTTGTTTGTTTGCCATACATATGGTCTCGAAAACAGTTTCCGTCTGAGAACAGTGGAAGGCAAAGTATAAGAAATGACATAAAAATTGCATCTTTCCGAATCATGTTAGTTTTGTTGTCGTGAAAGTAATAAAAGCTGTTAGGATGTCTTAAGCTTCGGTAAAAGCATCGGTAAGGTACACACCGCAACTGCATCCAACAACATGTACATCAAGAGGAAAGCCATGAAATATTTACAATCTGATACCAAGTTGTACCCTATGAGCCCTTTTCTTCTGATTATTTTGATTAAAAACATTACATTGTCTTTTCCTTCGACTCACAAACAAACAAGGTCAACATCTGGATCAATCTGCCTCTCTTCGTCTGAGGAAAATGAAAACCATAAAACAAGCATAATTATGATTAAAGTAATACAAGCACTATCATTTAACAATTTCAATAAAGAAACTGTAAGTTTGGGTGTCTCTAAAAATTTTAAAACTGTTTAACGACAAAGTAAAATTGTTTGTAGTGATACACATTTTATAACTTTCCGTGGTGACTTTGGCTTATTACAATAAGAAAAGTTCACTTCCATTGTTTGTATTAGAGAGCACAAGTTAGATTATTGTTTAGGGTTATTTATTTACTTATTTATTTATTTATTTATACATGCAGGAACATCTGGTTTCCCATAGAATAGAGGATGGTAAAGTAAAAAGAAAGCAAATAAACAGATACAAAGAAAATGAATACAGAAAGTAGCACACTGATAAAATAACGTATCAAAGTCCGTTGCAAAGCTAGAGTTAAAGGACAAGGAATTTTAGGCACGGGCACCATTGATCATATATGTAAAACTGACCTGATATTTGGTAGTTTTATTTTCTCTGAAATTTGTTTTTCTCTTCAATGCTTAAGGTTCTATTTCTTTCACACGGTTTAAGAAGACCTGCCGCTGTGCAGAGTATTTATGACAATGAAAAAGGAAATGAGTCTCAACACAACTTACTTTGATTCACATAATGGACATAATATGTTTTCTCTGGTCACATGATGACCCGATATCGACCTAGTTCAATCATAAGCTTTTGATTTCTTTTTCTAAATTTCACTAAATTTCGTTGTACGCGGACATCATTAAGGTCCTGGTGGTCTGGCTGATAAAAGTGCCGGTACAGAGGTTCATCCCTAAGTTTGTTCTCCGATGACAGCCTCCTATGTGCATTGAGTCGCGACTTATGGTTATTAAATCTAGTCCAGAACTTGGTAATTGTTGAACCTACGTACTGGATAGTACATCTAGCACACGACAAAAGATAAACTACATGATCAGAGTTACAATTAAGGTTAAAGTTAATTACAAAATTTTTATCAGTAACATTAATTTAAAAGTCCGTGCCCGCACCAAGGAAATCACATACCCTACATCTCCTGTCCCCACACCTTACACAACCTCTAATATCCCCTGGTGTCTTATTAATAAGCTCGGAATGCACTAGCATAAATCTATAATTGATAAAAACATCAATAGGTAACTCTCCTAGCTGAAAAGAAATTATTCAAAAAGGAATTCTCTAAGTATCTTTTTGATAGTGCACAGGCTGTCTGCAGCCGTGATCGCACGTGGCGATAAGTTCCAGAGTTTAATTGCTCTATATATAAAAGTTCGTTGACCTGCGGCGGATTGATAAGCTGGAATATTAAGATAGTCCTTATTTCTTGTGTTGCGATCATGAACAGTAGATCTTGTCACAAAGCGATCACTCAAGTAACTTGGTGCTAGCCCTTTGTCACACTTAAACACGAGAACGCCTACCGTATACATCAAATAATTATATATATATTATTACTATAGCAGCATCAAGACGCAATCTTCGATAATCATCATTCATTTGCTGGACCACACTGTAAGTATCGTTGACAGAAAATGACAAATAGAGTTTTGAATCGTCAACGTTTGATTCCAGGGAACCAAATTTCGGAATGTTGGAAAGTTAATGTAGATGGTAAATAGCGCCGGACCTAGGATGGAACCCTGTGGTACACCATGAGAAATAGCACCCAGACTTAACGCCTCAGCACCGATCCTGAAGTATTGTTGACGTCCCGACAAATAGCTTCCAAACCATTCCAGAGAGGTACAACCAACCCCCAGTGTCTTTAATTTTGCTAGAAGGTACCATATTGTTCGCTTTTCTAAGGTGACCACTAAGTCTTTGGCCTCGGGAACAGCCTTTTAGGATCAAATTAATTATACAAGAGCAAAATTGAAGGTGAACTTTGACCCAGGCCAATACTTTTTCTGGTGTGAAAACAGGGGCTATGCTAGTCTGCCGACCGTGTGACTGTACATCCGGGAACTTGAATAAGACGAGTGTAAGAGAAACGACTACTGAAGTGTTTATCTGCCAACAGGTTGAGTTTTTCCGAGTTATTTGATGATATTTCGCTTGTGTTAAACGTGAGAAGATTACGCGTGGTTGTGGATAATAACTAAGTGATTTATTTTTCAAAGTAAGGTACAATAATCCTTCTTTTTCTCTGACTGTAACTGATATATGCAGTTTTTGTTTTGTTGTGAGGAAGGCGCTTCAGCTATACAGAACTGTTTCTAGGTTTATAATTAACAATTATTCCACGAGGGCGCGTTGGATATGAGATGATAGATAGCCAACGAGGCGCATAGCGCCGAGTTGGCTATAATCATTTCATATCCAACAAGCCCGAGTGGAATAATTGTTTTATTCAAAACGCCCACAAAATCTCGTTGAATCGCCTCGACTAGAACAAACCGGAAAAGACAAGGGACTTCCGCTATTGACATGTCACACGTCTATCAAAACTGTCAACGCGCGAACGGACTCGCCTAGACTGCATGAATGAAAAATCAAAACATTGTGCGATGAACATTAGTTTTTTTAAAACTCATCGTGATTCTAGGATTTTACACAGCAGAACAGCTTAAAAAACCTGGCAGATAATGTGAAGGAAAGGAATTTTTAAGTGACAGCCGTCGAAATTACTATGAATTTGGATTTTCGGTGCAGTTATAAAAGTAAGAACAACGGAGAAAAACTACCGGTATTACCTCGGTCGCTTGTTATGAAGTTGTTTGAAGCCACAAGCTGGTTTTGCTGAACGAGGAAAGAAGCTATACTGCCGCCTCGATTGCTCTAGTGAATGGCTGCATAGCCTGTATTTGTAGCTGGTTACTTGTGATTTATATTCTTGATGTCGGATAAACAAGCTGCAGTTATCTATCGGCGAGTGACTCGATCGGCGAATGGCTTCGCGATCATGAAGAAACAACACTTGTCTTCTTTCGTAGCTGGTCAAGGTAGCTTAGTTCCATGTGTTTTCATGTGTTTTTCGACAAACTTTCAAACAAGCTCTTGTGGCTTTTTTGTTTGTTTTTGTCTTTTTTCTTTCGTTGAAATTGCATTTCTAGTATTCTAAGAAATGAATTAAAACGATTTTCTTCGGGCGCCGTTCTATCCTTCGCGAAAAAAAATCTCAGCTAGCTTCCAATTTTAGACGAAAATCTGTGTTTTTGTTTCCGAGTTTTTTTTGACATAAATCTTTTGTATATGTTCAAAATTATACAAATAGCGAAAAATTGGAACGGTACTTGCGTACGGGGGCTGGAAATTTCCCACTGAAAAGTGCGTAAATACCGTCCGCCATTACAAAGTTCGCAAAGCAATAGCCCGCGAGATCTCCGCAAAGCGGTCGTGCGTTTGACCACGTGATTTATGCACTGTGACGTAGAAACATCAACCAAAAGATTCGCATTTGGGAAAAGTTTGTGAGGTTAGAGCCTTTTAACAAGACGTTTAAGATGTCATCTCCGTCGGATTCCTCTTCCTGCACATCTGAAAGTGATCCAGAAAGTTTTACAGTTGACGAAGTGATGGGGGAATTGTCTGAATTTGCGCCGTACGACGACAGTTGCGAACCCCTTGCTACCGAGGAAGAAGCCGCGGACTACAACGAAAGAGTTCATCGCGAAGAAGAAGTGGAACAACAGTTTCAACGAAGATATTAGGGAGAGGTGCCAGCGAATGAATGGTATGGTATTATCATGGAATGTAGATTTATATTTTTATTTTCCAATTTCAACATACCCGTCGTTAGATCGTGCGCGTGACGAACGCGACTGTGTGTTTTGTTTAAGTTAACAATTTCGTTGCTATGTGATTAGCTGTAGTCCTGATTTTATGCGATAGTTTTATTGAAGAGGTCAGACAATTAATAATTTTATACAGACGTATTTTTCTTGTGTTTGACGAATTTTTCACATTATTTTGCAGTTGTTCGTGCTCGAACTGCTCTGTCATTTTATGGGCCAAACTTCAGAATTCTCAGCCACTTACTCGCTTTTTGTTGAATGACAAACTTGCCCACTGTGTGAAGCTCTGTTCTTCTAGCGTTCAGTTAAACTCAAGTTTAGTGGCTGGGAATTCTGATGTTGCTCCAATTTTCATCTACACAAGTAATAAAAATTAAATCGAATTCAGCCTGAATTTAATTACAGTTTTAATGTATCGTTTCTTTCTTTTCACTCGGCTCACAGAGCACTGCAAAACTTAATAGCAGGTTACCTGCTGGAAACTTTCCTAGCAGGTCTGGTTGACTCTTCCAGACTTTTGTCCGGCTACAGTTTCTGCAGAAACTTTCTACGGTTAACAAGGAACCTGTCTGTGATACAGAAAGTTTGGGTTTTGAAAAGAAGCACAAGTGGCAGAACTGAAACAAAAGAAGAAGTTTGGAAAGGAAAACAATTCCCTTCGGTTCCTCTCGAATGTTTTTCCTTGTAGATCCAACCTGTAAAAAATGATTGAAAGGAAATACTCATTTAATCATAGCATCTGAAATAATAAAATAACAATAAAAAAAACGATTGTCATTTTTATTGTTTTTCTCAGGGTGTTGCTAGTTTTTCAACTTGTTGTAAACCTGGCTAATTGTGGGTTGGGATTTTATTCTCACATACATCCTGAAAAATGCTTTTTTATAATAATTCTGTTGATTGCACACATGACAACTTTGAGCCCTTAAGCTATCTAGCCCACCCCAACGATGCATAATTTATTACAAGTGGTTGAGTGGACAAACCAAAAATTTTCAGGCCTGGGACTTCCAGTCTATGGGCTGGCTATGCCTCTTCTTTTTTTTGCAATTCTTATCTGAGTAAATTAAAAAACAAATTTCATGTACTCTTGTTTATAAATAGATCCTCTCATAATGGAAGTTAGTTTTACGCCTAAATCACTTCCCAGAGGATACTTAGAGCTAAGATGTTAAAATGCAATAAATTTTGCATCTTTGTACCTTGGGTTCTGATGAGTTTTCACCGAGTCATCATCTTCCTTTAGTTTTTTATATGCATCTTCGATTTCTTCAGGACTCCATGTAGGGTCTTCATCACACTCAAACTCCTCATACGCGTCGTCCTGCATTTCCTGCTCATCTTCTGATTCATCCTCTAGCCCTAACTCTGTCTCATTTGTTACTGGCCATGGATCAGTTTGAATAGCTTAAACAAATGGAATTAAAAAAATTCTATCACCATTAAAATTTTAATTATTATTAAATAATCAAATATTGATAAAATGTAATAAAAATATAAAGATAGGTAGTTATGCCTATATGACTCATCAACATCAATTATTGTTGACTCACCAGCATTCACCATCAGCCACTGCTTCGGCTCTTGTATGCTCTTAAAGGTTTCAACCCACTGATCTTGACTGGAGATTAACTTACTCTTCAGTCTTGTGACTTTGCCCCTTAACTGAGTCACCTCACTCCTCAGGGTTTTGCATGTTGTGCAATTCCCAGCATGTCCAGTTGGAGTATCCTACAAAAAACAAACTTTCAACATATATACAGGCTGTAATAACAAGACTTTAGAATTTTTGTGTTATTGTTGTAAAATAACTGCACATGTAGTTTTCCATTGTTATGATAATACAAAGATGCAAATAAACATTAATTAGAGTTATGCGCCTACCATAGAAACCTGTTCAAGTTCAGGAATCATTAATGATTCATCAATCTGCATAACTTCATCCATATCCTGCACTTTTTCGATTCCCTGAGCCTCCAGGATCTGCATGGTCTCAGTAACCTCATCAGTGCCTGAAATCCCTTGGCTCTCGAGAGCTGTCTTATCACCAGGAGTACCTAGGACCTCTGAAGCCATCTCAGCATCAACACTTATCTCACCCGTCTCAGTCTCAGGGATGCAGCCCTCCTTTTCAGGATTTACCTCAAGCAAAGAACCCTGACTTGTATTCAGAACACCCTCGACTTCTGGAGACTCCTCAGGGTTGAGATTGGGAGCCCCCATAGTGTCAGCACTCTCCTCAGGTGCAGAGGTTCCTTTCAAAGAGATCACCTCTTCTTCAGGATTGTCTTCTCCCTCTGTATCCTCATTAGCAGTTTGACCAGCCAGAATTTCATTTAGTAGCTAAAAATGAAAATAGGTACGTCCATTTTTTATATCTCCCCTTCAAAACAAGTTTGAATTTGAGCTTTATGTCGATGTTTTCAAAACTAGAAATGGAAGCAAGGTTTAACCACATCTTTGCCTTAAAATGTATGCATCATTTGCAGACAGTGAAAATAGAATTAAAATACAAACGGAAAAAAAACCCGCAAACAGTAACTGAACTTATAGAATGTAGAAATTAGACTCCATTTTTTTTGCTGTAAGATTTCTTGGAGGGAAGTTTGGAGTACTGTCAAATCTCAAAGTAACAGCAAGATAATCTCTCAAAAAATAGAGAGCCGGATTTCTATGTAGCTTCACTTTTTCTAAATTTTACGCTTGAGTGGAAAGGTCTGGGAATTGGGGAATTGACTTCACGTCCACTCAGCGCAAATGCCCGTTTTACTATAACTATGAGAAGAAAGCAGAAAAGTATGAAAACACATGCAACAATATGGGAAGTCCAAATAGTCAGAGCATTCATTACACGAATATTGAACAACGATGCCAGAAAAAATCATGTCACAGGTAAATGGGGAAATAAATATAATGGTGATAAGCACAGCGCAAATACATCGTAATTTCACTCACCGATCGTCGACTCCGCTTTGATAGTGTTTCAGAGGATTTTTTTCAAATGGTTGGAAACGTCCCCTTCTTCAAATTCCTTTTCATGCCTTTCATCGGAAAAGCAAGCGTAAAACAATCCCTTGTAAAATGCTCCGAGCACACAGCAAATTTTCCCACTGTGTTGAAATCCTTCTGATGAATGGACACGAACCTTTTCCACTTTAATCTAACGCTGTCCGAATCAGGAGAATTATGAATAGAAATCCCCAATTCATCGTTCTTTACGTTTCCACAGTCCTGAACAACACAACGTCTACCAGGCATACTTTCGCTTTAAGTCAAAAAAGCGAAGAAAGAACCTCCAAAAGCTTCCAAAAATATCTCGTCCTGCATGCGAAATTAGCCAGGTTTGTTTGCCTTGTTTTGTCGCGTTGATGTTTCTACGTCACCTCTCGCCCCAACTCCTTCAAATACTACTCCCGGTCATTTTTTGAATCGAGTAATGGCGGCAAGACATTTACAAAAATTGCCGTGCAAATAAACACACTTCCAGATCATATTTGGACTCCTAACTTGGCACGGTAAGTCACTTTTACATACATTTTCGAAATATGTAATCAAAAACAAATTCCCAAATTTGATCGTAGTAGCACTTTAAACTGACGCGTACACCGACCATATATGGAGAACATGGTATATTAGCTCATATACCATAACGGCTAAGCCAATCAAAACGCTAGAATTGCATTATCCAATGATTCAGTTTTTAATAACAACACATAGTTATCTTTACTAATGTTGTTAGCCCCCACCAATTTTCAGTAGTACTTGTATCCTGACGATCATTTATGTTTGATCTTCTGTGGACTTTCCCATCCTTCACCTGAAAAAGTGGGGCGTTGTTTGTCTCCTCGATGTCAATGAAAGGTATCAATTCGGTCACCACAGAAGGATCAAGAGCTTTGGTAGGGTAGCTGTACGCCTCGTACACTTGATCAACTGAAATCTGTACAGCTTTTACTACAATCCTAAGATTATCTCTGCTCTTTCTTTCGAGCAACATCCCATCACCATATGCAATCCATTTATCACCCCTCAGATTTGTCACACGCAGACCATATTTGTTGTCTTCGTCATGCATGTACTTACTAAGTAAATGGCCTTTTTTCCCAAGAATGGTCGCCCTTCCCAGCTCAAATCTTGGCGTCCTGCAACCAGATATTTTTATGGATGTTAATCAGATTCTTAACAAGTCAGCATGACGCCATCTCATCAAAAATTTATTACAATAAATTTAACTACAAGGCATCAAAGTTTCGTAAAATAAACGAATATATTTACACTGCTATTTTTCTTTTTAAAACAATTCACATGTAATGTACGTATACTTTCAGTCAGTAAGAAAATGACTCGCAAATGCTTCCATTGAAAATGCCTCATGAAGGAGTTTCTTCCTCAATTCAGGATCTCGTGGATGTTGACTGGCTTCTCGTGCTTTCTCTTTTGCCAACTGATGACCCGTCAGGTACGCGTCTTTTGCGTAAGGAAGAAAATGGTCGTAATTATTCTCAGCCAGTTCTAACTTCCTCCCCTGTATAACTGGAATGCCGAGGAACCAGACACCACGAGTGATTTCGTCTGCTGTTTCTGCATCCAGGACTCTTTCTTTCTTAAAGAAAGCCAACAGCTTGTCAAGTTCCTTCTGTAATTCATCCTTTGGTGCCCTTGCCAGTGTGTCGTAGGCACCTCGAAAGCGCTGTTTTCGTAAGAAGTCTTCCTCTTCTCCTTTAAAGGGATCAATAATTGGGTTTTCAGGCAATCCATACAAGTCTCCAGCGAGGCCTATAATTTCCTCGAACTTAACTTCTACACCGTTTGGGAGTGTTATTTTCCTAAATTCATCTTTTAGGTGTATTTTTTCACCAATTTTTGGGTGCTCGATTGAGGAGTCAAATGAAACTACTTCGACGAAACGACGATTCGCAGTTAAATCCATTGCTTTTATAGTGAATGTAACGCTGGATTCGTAATTCAAATTCGCCTCCAAGACAAATGTTCTACTTTAACGCTCGAATAATCAGTAAAAAACAACACAAATTTGTTTATACTTATCAACGCTATGTTTGTGGTCGAAAAGCAGGTGCGTATATTCTACTAACTGATCATGTGACCAATGAGTACAACAACAACTTAGTTACCGCACACCGTGAATTTTAGGGAATATCAACACTTGCCTGATGAAATGCGAAAAAAAGATTCAAATTGAAGACAGCAAAACAGGAGGAGAATATAGGAGAATATAGAAAATCGATTCCGATAAGTTTATCACAATTTTTCTGCTGTGTGTGATTTATAACTTTTGTTTGTTAAAGTTCACGTGTTCGCAACTTCTACATTCCTTATGACAATAATTAGTTTTGGGATCTAGCATAGAGAACCTTAAGTATATTTGTTGACTCGGTCCTGTTGCAAACGCCAAGATGCTTGCTTGGCGTAATCAATTTGGGTAATCATATGCAAAATTCCTCCGAGTTATTTCCGACCGCTTTTTCACTTTATTTTGTGAGTATTGTGGTATGAAAGGAATTTTATTGACTTTGTGAATTATTTGGACATGTAATTTCTTTGCAGCTTCTACATATGTATTGGTATTCACTTTGTTTATAACCTTCTGTTGTAATATTATTATTATCTTACTTATTTTGTGTAAGTGAAAAAAACACTGTATTGAATTCAATTCAATTGAATTGGTCAATTGAGTAGGACTCTGTGATTGGTGCATTGCAATTGGTTCTCTGTCAGTAAAATTGCCGTTTGTCCGGTCATTCTATCCGTGTTAGTTTTGCTGGATTCGTCAATCAGTCGTTGTCGCAGCTTTTGTTCCTGCATACTGCTCTTTGCGTATCCTCCTGTCTGCTGTCTGTCTTTGTTCTTCAAACTCGAAAGCAGTCGAATGACATAAGCAGATGGAGTATGATCGTCCCGGTGAGTGTAGTCTAAGGGCCCGTTCCTCAAACGTCCGAAATCAACAATCGGTTCCTGGCAAACAAGCCGTCATTTTTGTTTTGTTAACTGACCCCTTTATCATATTACCTTGAGAATATTAAGAAGACAATCTTACATTAACTATCGGTACTTTCGAGGAACGGGCTCCTGATATTAACGGCCTGAATGACTGATGAGGATTTGAGGGGTGCATTTCCCCAAGTCTTTTGCCAGTGAAAACGGTCACTGTTCAGTCAAAATGTTCAGCATCTTCTCTTATTTTGTAGATGTCAAGATTTGCTTCATTTGAGAGCTTTTGAGCAAGGAACCGCCTACTTCTGACTTCGATTCAGCAGTGTTTCTTGCATAAACCAGCTTTCTTAAGTGGGTCGTTGGTGGTAGCCTGTAGAAAAGGTAATATATCCAAGTGATGCGATGGCTTGTTTGGAAGTGGCGTTCCGTTGTAATTCAATTGTTAATGCTGACATTCTTTTTTGACTGGCGTATGTGTTCAGTTAAGTGTATGCAAAGGTTTTTACCCGTCTTACCGATGCAAGTGGCCTGGCAGACACAGCAAGTGTTCTTGTATATCGCTCCCAGTCTGGGCCTGTTTAAATAGAGGTGGGGAACCCAGGTGGGTGGGGTGACCCGCTTAGGTGGGGTAACCCGCCTGTCCATATAATCTCTCATTTTAATTTGATCACGTTTACATGATATGTTGGTGACACACCACAGGTTACCTCACCTACCTGGGGTCCCCCACCTTCATGTAAACAGGCCCTTACTTAACTTACGCGTTGCATACAAACTTACAGGGTGTTTCAAAAGTTCGTTCCGATTTTTGCTTCGCTTAAATTTCACTGATTATTAAAAATACCTTCTGTAAAACTAAGCAATGTTATTTTTTATTCATTTTACATTGACTAACTAAAATATTAGTCAACAGAATGTCTTCCTTTATGTTTCTGACATTTTTTAAGCGGTGAGGTATAGGATGTATGAGCTCCGAAAGCGTGTCTAAATTCACATTTTTCCAGGCGAAACGTAGTCGCTGTCTTAGCTCGTCCAGTGTTTTTGGGGCTGGATCTTTGTATGTTGTCTCATCAACAAAAATCCAGAAGGTCTCTAGAGTGTTCACATCACGTGAGTTTGCCTGCCGGTCATCCTTTAGTACACAGTTTGCAAATTCTTTTGATACCATGCCTGCATAAAGTGTGCACCGCCTTTTTTCTCGTCAAGGCTTTCCAACCTGTTTTGGTCACATATCTCCATACCGTTTTACTCGAAACTTTACTATTGTGAAGTTGAAGTCTTTCTGCCTTGTTGAAATACTACGCATATACTTACAGCTTTTTCGATAACATTTCTCTCGCAGATTGTAAAAAACAAACGGCCATCTACCTGATCTACTCCTTGGATTGTCTTCTAAGGTCTTTACTTTTGACCACTTGTTCACTCATCGTTCAGAGTTCTCCAACAATTTTGCAATTTCTTTGACTGAATGGCCAGAATGCTGTAAAAAATAGGATGCCTGAGCTTTAGCACAAACAGTTTAGGCCTTCATTTTCGTGAAGGAGTAGAAAAAAGAAAAGAAAAAGGCAAAAATACGAAAATAGAAAACCTACAAAATGTGCAGGAAAAATATGGCGGGAAAAAACTTGCGTACGTGCACATTTGGGGCAAAAATGAAAAAATATTCCATTTTCTTCAAATTGTAGTTTGAAATTACTTTGAACGATTATTTAGATAAATTTCGTACCTGAATCAGTTTACATTTGCCTAAAGAAGCATTAAATACTTTGCGCAAAATACGATTTACAATCGGAACGAACTTTTGAAACACCCTGTAGACTTTGAGAGAGGAGGGGTTGTTTTTCCAGTTTATTCTATTCGCGATTGTAGCCCTATTTGATTGCCTAAAAGCTAAGTCTGTCATTCACTCCTTGGCCTTGTTTTCACGCTACGATGAGAAATAATACACACACGACTTTTCAGGCTGACCCTTTAAAGCTACCGTAAAATTCCGAAAATAAGCCCCGGGGCTTATCTACGGAAGGAAATTTTCGTTTCAAAACCAACTGGGCTAGCCTTATAGTTGGAAGTAAATTTACCGTTTTTGTTTTGTTTTACTTTGTATTTGAGGGCAATTTTCCAAGTACAAGCCCCCCGGGGACTTATATTTGGAGAAGCGATTTAACGGAGGGTTTTTTGCGTTACCGGTTTGGGAGGCTTATATTTGGAGAGGCTCATACGTAGAAGGGCTTATTTTCGGAATTTTACGGTACTTCTCTATTTGCAGTTAAAATTGTCATCTTATTTTAAGATGAAGAAAACTAGACATTCAGATAGAATTTAAAAACAATCATTTATAAAATCGAAAACATGTAAGAATCTCTTATCCACAGATTACACCCAAAACACGAACCGATTGTCAAATCAGACCTATATCCCTAAATCTGACTAGTACATGTATGAACTGAAACTGAATTCAGTTCTACAGGTGACATCATCTCAATATTAATCGTGTAGTGAAAAAACTATCGACACTAGAATTAGTAAGATTTTCAGCTGTTAGTAATTGTTATCTCGAATATGTTTAATACATTTTTCTCTTTAAGCTAGCATTTTAAAAGTTCTAGCTCTCTCCTGGCAATATAGGTTTTGAGCAATTGCACGCCTATATAGCAGAGTTTCCAGGTTTGTAAACCTGTAGCATTGCTGCTGTTGTCGGTCCCCACCAACTGGCAGTTGTAGTAGTACCCTGGAGATCGTTCAAGTTTGATCTTCTGAGAAGCTTCCCATCTATCATCTGAAACATTGGAGAATTGTTTCTTTCCTCCTGATCAACAAAAGGTATCAGGTCGGTTACCTGAGAGGGATCAAGAGATCCGGAAGGATTTGCGTAAGCCTCGTAGACTTGATCAACTGATTTCTGCACAGCTTCTGCTGCTATCTTTAAATTATCCCTGCTCTTTTCTTTCAGGAGCATCCCATCACCATATGCAATCCATTTATCACCCCTTAGATTTGTCACGCGCAGACCATATTTGTTGTCCTCGTCGTGCATGTACTTACATAATAAATGGCCATCTTTTCCTAGAGTTGTCGCCTTTCCCAGTTCAACTCTTGGCGTCCTGTAAACAGAAGTAACGCTTGCAAAGTTAATCATTGCACCCAATTTCACGGTCTCCGCCAGGCAGATTCAGACCAAGCAAGATAAAATAAAGGAAAACAACAAAAGTAAATTCGACAGCTAGAGTTTCAGGAACAGTGTATTGATCATATCCCATATTACCTTTCGGGATTGTCGCGTGCACATTTTTTCCGACAGCCTTTCTCGAAATAGCTGTATACAACGTGACAGATGTTTTTGTCGATGAGAAGGCCC